ATAGTAGGAACACATTAAAAATAAAACATGTTTGAGCGGCATTGCACCTGACTTTGGGTAATACCGCTCGGGGTACGGGGGAATGACGCTCAAAGATGTTTTTTTGGAATGTAACAATAATATATATTTTAATTGAATAAATATAATGAGATCCACCATAAAAAGTAAAAGTAAATTCTACAATAACAAATTTGCATCAATTATACCTATTTGTACGTAAGATTAGCCTTTTGTAAATTAACAATTAAGTATAGATAAGTTTTTTGGCAAATCAACTTTAACTATCATAATAAAATATAAAATAATTATTGGTCACCAGAGTAGAAATAGAAATATTTTACTTTTGAATACATAAATCACAGACATATTCATCTGGCGTATCCCACCCTGAACATATAGCATGAGCCCACAGACCGCAGGTAGTGCAGCGATACCATAACTCGTTATTTTTTCCAAATTCTTCGCAAATGATACATTTGTTATAATCTTCATTATCCACATTCATTTCGTCATCACTGTCATCATCGCAAAGGTGCTCTTCATCTTCAGTCTCTGAAGAACTTTCTTGTAAAATTTTTCTCTTGTACGATTTTTGTTTCATTTGTTTGTTCTTCTTTCCTTCGACAACGGGTTTTGGTCTTGATTTATCATCTTTTCTAGTCTTATTGAGTTTCGCAATTTTTTTCTTTTCTTTATTCTCTAAAATAATTTTCATAGGAGTCGCAGTTAATATAGTAGCATGTTGCTTTCGCTTTCTATGACCTGGTTTAGAAGATGATGCAATTACAGGCGTTGCTGCTATAGCAGCAAAGGATATCGGAGTGCGTTGCTCATCAACAAGTTCTTGGGTTGATGGTCCTGCTACAGGAGATATATGTCCTAAAATTATGTTCGTAGCATCAGATTGTGCATCTTCTGCACATTTGGGTCCAGAAGAATTCTGGATATTTGGGTCTTGATTTTCCAGGGATTGTTCAGATTCTTGTGCCATTAAAGACGCTGCAAGAAAATCTTGATCTGTGAAAACATTTGGGTTCAATGGATAAATTCCCGTGGCTCGAAATCCAGATTCTGCTTTACTTATATTCGCAACTTGTATGTATGCTTTGTTGAAAAGATTTGCAACATCGTATAGAGTTATTTTAGACAATAGATGTGTCTTCATATGTCTGTTACATTCGTCTCTATAAGCAGCTTTCAGCGGCTTATGAAAAGACACGTCCAGCGGCTGTGTTCTATGAGAGCTGTGTGGTGGAATAGAAAGCATTATAATGTGGTTTTCTTTGCAAAAATTAAAACCCCGAAGGGAAATGTGACTGCTGTGATTGTCCAGAATTAACAACACAGGTGATTCTTGAGTAGGCTTTGCAAAAGCTGCAAAATGTTTTAGCCAAGTAATAAATAAATCTTCGTTTATCCAGCCATTTTTTGAGTTTGTATATAATGCACCAGCTGGTCCATCTTTTTCTAATAAGGGCGTCATTCTCTGTCTAGGAAAAATAAACATGGGCGGTATGAAATTTCCGGCTGCGCTCATCGCACACATAACTGTTATGTTGCTTCCTCGTTCGCCGCTTGTGACAGATCCAACTCTTCTTTGTCCTTTTTCGGCGAGCACTTTTCCTGGGTCTGTCACCGTGGTAATACCTGTTTCATCACAATTATACATGTTGCTGGGAATAAACTTATATTTTTCCATTAATTCGCCAAGTTTATTGTAGAAATGTGTTATTTCTTCTTTGTTGAAGGAAGAAATTCTGTTTAAGCTTGTCGCTTCAGCTTTGCGTATAGAAACTGAAGGATTGCGTCTCATAAAGGCATGTACCCAATCCAATCCAGCTGTTTTGCTGCTTTGATCAAAATTGTTTTTGATATTGTTAAGCTCAGCATATCTATAAACAAGTCTACGCAAATCTGCAACATTGAGCCCATAGTACAACGAACCCAGCAACTTAACTTGTTCAGCAATTTCAGCTTCCTGCTGTTGGGTGAAAACAGGCTTGCGACCGAGTCTTGGATTGCTTATGTTTCCATTATTTAGGCGATCTCTTAAAGTGGAAAATGGTATATTATATTGTTGAGCGGCTTTTCTTTTGGACATACCTCCTTCAATCGCAGTTTTAGCAAACTGAAGGTTTTCTTCGGTCCAAGCCGCTTTAGCGGTTGTCCTTGGACGATTTCTTGGCATATCTACAATAATAAAAAGATAAGTCACACAGGGGTAATGACGCTCAGGTGAGCGGTATAACCCCAAACTATAGTTTTGTAGTTAATTTGAATTTAAAGAAAAAATACACAGAAATATTAAAAACTGATTGCATTATCATAAAAGAGAATAGCTGTATTGCCAGAAAAGTAAAATTACTAATTAAATAATCATAAAGTTTTGGACTCACCGACAAAAAACAGCTATACGAAAATTATATCAGCGAGGCCGCAAACAAAGAAACGCACTTCACTGGCAAATGACGTGAGCTGACTGCCCGTTTGCATTGCTGTTTGTTAGAGCCCCCCTCCCCCGCGCTTCACGCGATGCGGCGTGTTGCTACGGTCCATTATAACAGAGTTTTAAAGGTGAGCGCCATTACCCAGTGGGCGCCATTACCCCTAGTTACCCTATATGTACTGGACCTAAATGTAGATAAATAAAGTTTTGTTCTATGCATGAAAAATAAAATACGTATAAAATTATTATTTAGTAGCCTTCTGCAAGCGGCTTCGGCCGCGTGATCTAGTTTTAAGTCCAGATATGAGAAAATTCCATAAAAACTTTCAGGGGATGAAAGATTTACTGCATTGCATTGTTCGCCACTCGTTCTGCACTAAGATGCTTATGATCGACAGTCAATAAAAATGTACATCACTTTGAAAGAAAATATTTTAAATAAAATAGTAAATGGTAGTCTCAATGACTTCTCTCTTTCAAGCAGGGGCGTAGTTACCGCCGTATCTGACGTATCAATTATACGGGGCCCCTGGACCACGGGGGCCCCCAACGAGCGTAAGCAAAAATTAATAAAAACTTTCCATATTTCTTTTTATTTCAGTAATTACAAAAGCCAAAAAGCAGTTTCTTTTTCCCGCGTAAAGATGGCGTTTCAAAGTTGGCAACACCCTACATCGGTTTTCGCGGGCTGCATGATTTCTCCGTTTAAGTCATTTAATTCAACAGGAGAATCCCACATTAATCGATGTTAAAATTCGTAAGTACCCCCAAACAAATTGCTTTCAAGCATATATTTTCTTTTTGTGAAAACGAGAAAACTATGCTTGTGAGTATTGTTTAAATGTATTCCAACTTGTAGATATTCATCAGTTTTATTTATTAGCGTGACGATATCCACGGCGGCGTAATGGCAGCGTATTACAGATGTTTTTAGCGCAATTTCGAAAATGTAATCGTGTAAAAAAGGTGACACTAGTGGCACATTAGAAAGCAACGTATGAGCTTCTCAACCATAGAGTTGGCAGTTTGGAAAACATTTCAAATTAATTACAAATCGAAAATCATCGCCATCTTTCATTCATTTCATTTTTATTTTACATGTAAAAAAATTTTTATTTACTTGACATTGGCAGAATTGTGCGAACTCGCAGATAAGTCATTAATTAAAAAGAAGAAGAAGAACAATTACAAATCTTTGGAGTAACTACATGATGTCTTTCTTACTTTATTTTTGTTTCAGATAAACATATCAAGCATGCATGGATTATTTCACCTTATTTTTGTTTTAGCACTAATAAAAATGCATGTTAATTAGTTATCAGTGTTTTTTATACGGCATAATGAAAAGAAAATCATTAAATTTCAAAGTGTTTATTAGTAAGGCAGAAAATTTCCCATCATACTATTTCAATATATAAATAAATCTGTGTTAAACTTAGTTAAGAAAAAAGTGTACATAGGTAAGAACTCCAAAATTGAGCTTTAATAACAAGTTTGTAAATATGTAAACATTTTTCTCATAATCAACATTAGCTGTAAACTAGTCTTATTACTTTAAATAAATGAAAAGCTGTGCATCAACTATTAAGCTTTAAATAAAAAAGTTTTAAGTCAATGGTGTTGTAAAATCAAATACCATTACATTTTAAGAAACCATCAGCACATATTTTAGTAGCTAAATAAGACAAAATATAAACTAGATATTTTTGTCACACAAACAAAATTATAATCATCTTATAAACTCGCAAAATATACAGATCCAGGAACAATAAAATGAAGAATTTCAACAAACATTTCTTTCAAAGACAGTCTGTAAACAAATCAACTTTATTGTACATCTCATCATGATGTTATGAGCCTATAGTCATGAACTAATTATTTTTTAATTTATTTATTATGCAAAACTAACAATGGAAATCCTACTTATATACTAATATTTTCTGTATCAACATAACATTTTAAATAAACACTTCCATATTAAAAAATTTGATGTTTTAAACTATATTTATTTTACATGACATAAAACATGTATCATAAATTACTATAAAGGTTAACAGATATTGGTCTAGAGTTCTTCTAGTATTTCATTGCTGTAGCAATCATAACAAATATTTCATAGCACCTCATATGTCTAAATAATTGTAGTTAACTGTTTAACAATTCAAACATTATATTTTAGTAGGTACTTTTTCACAATGCAACAATATTTCAATTATCATTCCAACTAAGTAAAAAATTACTCTTTGTGGTCCACTCAAGTCATTATGTGATTATACAAAAATACTCTGAAGTTCTTGCTGTGAGGTAAAAATGTTTTATTTGATATCTATACTTGCATATTTATGTGGATGGAAAATAGAATTTTTACTAAATATACACACTTCTACTATAAATAATGGTACTTTGGGACATTGTGTGAAAATTTTCAACTTTGTATCAATAGTACAGTAATTTAATATGTTATTTACAACTAACAATACATAATGTACTTTTGATGATCGAGCAAACTTCAACTGCCTTATGTACTTATATGAATAAGATTACTATGTAACTATTATGTTTCAGAAATCCTTGATTTACCATTTAACTTCCCAAGTTGACCCAGCATTAGGACAGTGTTTATTAAGTTTTCTGAATAGATACGCTGGTTGGTTTCCATTTTGCGTAATTTCTGCACAACATATTTAGAAAAGAACTCGAGTTCATTTTCATTACCGTGCGATCTCGAGTCTAACTCTTCAGAGTTACGCTTGCGTTTGGTACTCTTAGGGCTTGTCTGTGTGGTTGATGATTTAGCTTTGCGTTTGGAGAATTCATTCTTATCGTTTCCACTGCTATCACTATTCACAAAAGCTGAATTTAAATCTTCACCCAAGTCGTTTGCCTCTTCTTCATTCAAATGGATTGTCAAATCATCTGGAACTGTCACCATAGGTACATGGTTATCAGAAAACAAAGGTGAAGGTAAAAATGATACTCGTTTTCGAACTTTTACAGCACTATTCTTCGGTTTATTAGAATCTTCTGTAACAGCAGCTACTGTGTGCCTGCGATTAACCTTATCTCTATTGATTTCATTATTGCGAAACCGACTACCTGCTTGTTTATTGCTCCAAAAGTTCACTTTGATTTTAGGCTTCGGTTTAGGTTTCTGTTCTATTTTCGGTTTATTCAAGACTGTAGGAAATTTATAGCGAATATCATCATCCTCGTTTTTTATTTTCTCTTGTTTTTTATTGGTGACAGTAGATTTATTATTCAATTTATTAAAGTAATCTATGTTTAATTTATATTTTATATTCTCATCATCGGATTGGTATCCATTTTTTCGAGATGATGACTTATCAGCTCCAGTTTTCATTGTGCAAAGTTTACTTTATGATTGCAATATTAAAATCTATTAGCACCTGAAATAAAACAAACGAAATTGTAATTAATATGTATAAATGGGTATAAAATATCACAAGTACAGTATCTACTTAAATAGTAAATTATTTAACTCGGTTCTAACAGGTTTTAGTCTTTAGCCCACAAATTCCCGCCCAAAACATCGCGCAGTTAAAACTCGTCTATTATAACGATAGTAATACAATACAACAGTAACACTAAAAGCAATAGAATATAACATTCACTGACTAATAAAACTATACCTATTTATAGTTAGACATGTCCTTCGCTAGCAAAAATTCTAATACAAGATAATATAATTTGAGGTTATTTTGCTAACTATTAAAAATTAATTAATCGGTTAAGTACAAAGTTAAATCAAATTAATTCAAATTAATGAATGTTTTTAATGCTAATTGTAAAGGCACAAAGTTAAACTCATAAAATAAAAACATTTGAACTCGTCATCAGTGACATCGTTGGTTTGGCTTGGTTGAGATCGTTTGCTGTTACATAATCAGAAAATGAATTATAATATCGCTTACCTTTAAAAATAGGCATGATTTTTCATACAATACACATTCACATAAACTTCCTTGTATACAAAAATAAATATTTCCACGATTACAAACACGACACAGAGTCTACAAACAAGGGTTTCATGACGCGAAGTGATTGCAAAACTCGCCACAAGTGGCGCTACTTGTTGATGCGCGGGAAGATTAGGGCTGCGTTCAGGAACTTACACGTTTTTGTATAAATGAAATGGCTGTTGCATTGAGTGTTATAAAAATTGGAAAACAAATTATCTATTTTACATAAATCTTTTCCATCATGTAATTAACTGAATCTCATTTAAGGAGTATGTTTATTTCAAGGCGCTTCTTCAGAGCTGAATCTACAAATGATTTTTTTAAGTTTCATTTTGTGACGTGATCAAACCTTGGAACTTGCAATGTATTTAGTTTTGATTCTTACTGGGATTCTAATTTCAACAAATAAGGGAGAGACTGTTGAAAAATTAATTCCTGCATTAAAATTGGGGGCATTTTTTCTTTTAATGGATATATTGATAAATAATAAATAGTTTAAAAAAACAAAATTATAACTTTTTTTATAAACAGTAGCTTTTGTAAATTGGTTTTTGTTTTATTATAGTAAGTTAGGGATTAAGCTTTAAGTGCCTTTTTGTCGATGTTCAAAATATAATTTCATTTTAATAATTAGATACCTATTAAAGATTAAAAAAACCGAAGGTGAATTCACATTACTTAAAACGAACCACAGTTTCACTCGTTTCTTTTTTAAACTATATTTTATGCTCTCGAAGCTCAACATATAGGTATGTTCCTCACAAAGTCGACAGGCAATCTTTTTTTTATAATTGTGTTTAATCAATATACATGTAACCATGTTCCTGTATTTGCGAGGAAAATAAATTCAATTTTTATTTTATTATTATTATGTCTACATCGGCACTTTCGGAACACTTTCATTTGACAATTTTTTAGTCACCTATAACCCATTTATTTTATATAAATTTCCCGTGCTGCATTTTCTATTGGCCGTATAGCGTGACGTAAGAGGACGTCATTCCAAAAATGACTATCCATACTTATATTATAAATGCGAAAGTAGTCTGTCTGTCTGTTACTTAATCACGCCAAAACCAATGAACCAATTTGCATGAAATTTGGTATGGAGATATTTTAATACTCAAGAAAGGACATAGGCTACTTTTTACCGCGGGAAAATGACGCATTCCCACGAGAAAATAATCTAAATATATATAACTCAAAGGTGACTGACATAGTGATCTATCAACGCACAGCCCAAACCACTGGACGGATCGGGCTGAAATTTGGCATACAGGTAGATCTATCCCCAACGGGATAAAATTGAGGATGAAATTTTGTATGAAACTTTGTCAATTTTAAACCGATCGGAATACTATGACGTAGGCATTCTCTAAAAAAGGATTTTGATTGATTCCACCCCCAAGGGGATAAAATAGGGGATGAAAGTTTGTATGAAACTTTGTCAAATTTAAGGGCTGAGACTTTGCATGCATAAAGCTACTATGACGTAAGCATCCCCTAAGAAAGGATTTTGATAAATTCCACCTCTAAGGGCATAAGCTAAGAGGATAAGAATTTTTTTTCAGGTATTTTACACGATATAATGAATAAATAATCGTTAGAAATGCTGCTCAAAGAAACTTTACCATGCGGACGAAGTCGCGGTCAAAAGCTAGTCTTTCATTAAGTTTACATTATTGAGTTTTGTTACAGGCAATATGTGAATTTAAAAACAAAAAGATATTCCTAACAGTAACAATTTCTCTTATACTCCTTGTAAGAAACATGGATAATTACGTGAATCACTTGTAGCTAAAGGTTATGGCATTTTTACACTGGTCGATTACATCCGAGAGGGTCGTGCGCGATTTCTGTACCTCGCTTTCCTTATTCTATTGACGAATGAGATGAATGCGCAGCAGTCGCCCACATTCCGAGTGCTCAACCAACCGACCAGTGTAAATGAGCTATTTACAATAATGTTAATGGTTTAAATAGTATTTTTAAGCGTAATTTATTATCCACTGTCATAAATAAAACTTATTTCCTATTGAATAATGAAATATGTATAACTATTGAAATAGCGCTTTTTTCGTCGCCGTATTTTTATAGATCAAAGCTTATTATGTATGTAGGAAAGAAAATAATTAGGGAAGTTATGCAAAAGAGCTTTTCAGTAGTTTCAATTGTATGCACGATAAGTATTTTTTTGTTTGTTGCAAATGCCCAATAGCATTAAAACCATTTTTAAGGTTCCATACTATGAAAGTCTTTGTTCCGCATCTATATAAACGGGACTCTTATTACTAAGAGTCCGTTGTCCAAGGCTATATCTCATGAACCGTGATAGTTTACTCACAAATTCTGTATTTCTGTTGCCGCTATAACGATAAATACCAAAAGCAGAACAAAACTAAACAAAGGAGGGCTCCCATGCATTAAACGTGATTTTTTGCGTTTTAATAAATAGGGGAAGTCCGGAGACTTGAACCTCTTTTTACTTGAATTATCATATCTTCGTATAGATTTGTCGTAGAGACTAGATTATAATTTTAATTCATGTGTAATTTATATAGACTTGTTTTTGCATCATTACTTTTTTAATATTTCAATACTGTAAATTGCTAAGCCGATTTGAAGTAAAAATGGGAAATGGATCAACTCTACCCACTATGAGGGACGTATGATCAAAAGCCCGAGGAAACTCATTATCAGGGGTTTTAGTAATTTCTGTTTATTTTTTTAGTATCATCTTTCTATTAGTCTTTTGCGTAGTTTTGCTTTCATATATTTATTATTTGGAATTGATACTTATCGTTATTCTCAAAAATTATACAACCTATTCTAAATGTTATTTGCCTTCTGTTCACTTGTTTTATTAACATTTATAATATTGAATTGAGTGCAAGTAGTATTATGGCAGAAGATCATCACCACAGATGGTATAATTAACCACTAATGTCTTCAACAGTGGTTCAACTCTCCCACATACATCACTTCGCCATAAAATTTTCATTGCAGAAAAGGTATTCAATTACTGTTAAAAAAAATTAACATACTTCAAACTAGAATAATCAGCAAACACGATAAAAATAATACACAATACTTACATCGACAAACACGGCCAGTATCTCAAAACTACTAATTATTTAAAATTTATTTTGTAGTGACCAAAACACTTTTCGCAACTTAAAAGCTAAACGACTGTGTTAATGTTTCATTAGCTTGCCATTTACGTCGAATTTTGAGAAGTGGTTGAACTCTCCCATCTGGGCAAGTCTCCCGGACTCCCCCTAATGTAAGACACAATTCGTGTGCCGACTTACACTTGACCGGTTTCTTCTGTTTAACTTTTGCATGCAATAAAATACTTTTATTTTTGAAAGAAATAATATAAAAGAGTGAAAATTTTTCTTTATATTACATAACATATTCTTTAGTATGTAATGTCAAAGAACATATTTCATTCACATTTTAATAGAATTGTTACTATCCATGATGACATAAATCACATCGAACCAAATGAAAATAAAATCATGGGATACCTATTGATAAAATAAATAAATTTGTACTTACCATATGGTTTTTCATAGAAATCCAACCCATCTTCGCTCGGTACTTAATTTTTCGTTTGTTATCCGTGATTGAAGTCTTTTATATAACTCAATGACTATAAAATGGACGGATGGTGAGAAAAATCTGAATATTTTTACGAATTTCTGGCTTAAACCGAAATATTAAAGTGAAATGTAGCTGTAAGGTTATGTCGACCCGCGAGATGTTCTCTCAGACTGAATCGGAGGCTGTGCGCATTGCGGCACTATTCGCACCAAAACAATAAATTACATACTTATATGTATTTTTAATTTATGAATATCACAAAAAACTATTATGTATGATTACAATGTGTTTTGTTATTCACTAATAAAATGTTACCTTATAAGCTATTTACTAAAAAAATACGAAATGTTTTTTATTAAAAGAATTTGAAATAAACCTTTTTTAAGATAGGTATTCAAAGCAATGTTGAAGAAATCCATATTTAAAAAATGATTCTAAAATAAGAATAGATCCTTTTGTTTTAAAAAAGAATTTTATCAAGAATGAGGCGGGAAATTCAAAATTATTGATTGTGTCGTAGAGGTCAAATTCGCATGTGCTAAAATATCTGGACCGGGATGAAGTGGGACTTGCGCATTGCATACACTGGGCGTCAATCAGACAGGTGCCTCTTGACAGAGTTTGTTTACTTTAAAACAATAAGCATTTCTAAGACGCCCTGCGCTCTTAAGAAGTCTTTGAATTGTTTACGCTTTTAAGAAAATATTTATGATGACTCAGTAAAATACTTAAAATGAAAATTGTCATTGTTTAGTATTTTATGCAAATGGAAGAGCCTTAATTTTATTTTCGGCAAAAGTTAATTACACATGGAATTAATTTTATCGTTAAAGCACTTTAAGCATTTATGATTAAGTTGAAAACTCTTGACTGCTTTAGTCTTAAAAAGTCAAACAGTTTTCAAAGTCTAGATAATTCGATATTTTTAGTCATTGTCTCATTGATTTTGCTTAATTTTACTTAGTTTCTGGAGTACCTACTTTTTAATATTTTACTGTCTTATTTTTAAACAGATTTTAATTAAATCTGGTATTCGGATGATTCTAAGCCTGAAATAACATATAGGATAGTTTTTATCCTATCAAACAGTCCCCCGGGGATACATTCAAATATAAAACCGAATCGAATGCCTCCGATTCACAATCTATAGTGAAAAGCTATAGTGATTGTGATAGCTATTAATGGAGTTATGTAGGTAACTTTTAAACTCGCAATCGTTTTTGGCACGAATGATAATTTAAAAGATCAAGAAATTTAATAAAAACATAATTAAATTTGTCAGTAGTTAAAGATCGCATTTAGCATTCGATTTTTATAGACGTTTCTCAGTAGCTTTCTACAATTCCAATGAAAAAACAATAGTACATTTAGTATCTTTCAAAAACCCCACGCGATCACAAATACTATCATGTCGTATTGTTGTAGCGTGAAGTTTGTGAACATCTTTCAAATTGGAAGGTATTGTGATAAACTTTAAAATAGGTTAATCTTCATGTAATGCGATGGATGGCTGAATATCCGGAAGCCATATATACGGGGCTACGGCCTCACAGCTTGCCGAATATATGGTATCCGGTCGAAACACTATCCGTTTCATTTCTAGTTTCTTTCTACGATGCATGGAATAATGTATATTTTTAATGCACTGTCAACTATTATAATAGTGAAACTTATCACTTACTTGAGCTCTAACTGCAGCCAAATGTAACTGCGTCGCCCTGTAGTCATACTTCTTGACCGATATCTCCTCCTGTTGAATAAAAAAATATGAATTGGAATATATACGGACCATTGACATCAAATCGCTTAATAACCATTTTCGACTATTTGTTTTTTTGTGTAACCTTGTCTTTTGTTTTAAATTTAGGAACAGAATCGCAGGGCAGTACAATCATGTCAAAGTTACGCGAGTTTTTATGGCGAGGATATTAATTATTCTGCTCTTTTAATAATAATGCAATACATGTGTTTTGTTTTTCTGTTTTCATAATTTGAGTTTGACACCCCTGGTTTAGTATTAGTTAGTAACTTCTTCGTCACCTTTGTCTTTTTTTTTACTCTGAATATGTTTAAAATGGGCCAATTATAAAGAACACAACATTAAATTTTGTGCACTGAATGTTTTCCCTTACTAAAAATTAGCTTTCATATTTATTACTAATATTAAGTAATTGATATATTTTTTTAAAATAATGTCGATTTAATTTTTTTTTAATATTTAAATTACAAGTTTAGTGAGCTTAATGCTATAGGTTATTCTTATTGTTTTGCAAACCGTTCCAATTATTATTTTTACGTATGCCATGCCGTGTTTATGGCGTTTGATATTTATAAGAATTATTTTACATATCAACTTATTCACTGTTTCTAAACTGAAAGAACGAGCAAAAAAATCACGTTTGTTGTACGGGAGCCCCCTTAAATATTTATTTTATTCTGTGTTTAGCACCTATTTGTAACTGTCTAAACTTCACGGTTCATGAGATACAGCTTGGTGACGCGACATTTTCGTAATAGGGTTCCCGTTTTACCCTATGGGTAAGGAACCCTAAAAATATCGCATTTTCATCCCTTGATATCATTTTTTGCATATTCAGAGACATCTACTGTTTGTTTTCTATACTGCCTGAAACGAAAAGTAACCTAAAAGCTACTCTGTTGCGTAAGTATTTCTTACACTTCTCGATAGATGGCGGACCAAGTCCTGAATTTTCATATTCGAAACCACATTCGAAACGCTATAAGTACCTATGCATTTTTAAGATATAGTTTTTACCTAAAAATGTTTAGAAAAGTGTATGTAAGGTATATCTATTATATTTAGGTATAAATTACAATGCAGAACGGAATGAAATTAATTAGCTTCAGCCCAAGTGTAGCGCGAAATTTTAATTACCTAATTTGAAACTTGGGTCAAAAGTCTGACACAGGTCTTGTGTGGCTAGAGGTTTGGATTTAATTACGGTAAGATATGATTAATTAAATAAAGGAACTGATTCAATGATTAAATCATGAAATATCATAAAAATTACTTATTAATACAATTTCCTTATAGTATAACAACTTACGTAGGTACATAACTCTACAAAATAATATATATTAGTAAACCATTGCATCAGAAATTGATTGAAAAACGATAAAAAAATCAGAACATTGGTTTACCGCTTTATGGATTAACGCTATTTGCTTCATCGAAATATTGGAACCTTTTATCTTATTAAGAAGTAATATTAAGCTTCTATTCAATACATAGTATGACAAAATGTCTTCGCCAGATACAATGTCGTTTAATTTCTGATCAGCAGGTAAAGAGAATAAGCTGTCAATAGCAGAAAGGTGAACCCAGGAACCCAGAGAAAATAATATATGTGTTGGTATTGATATTTCTAGGTGTTGTTTCCAGAAATTTTAGTAGTTAATAATAATGGGAATATTTATAGGAAAAAAAATCTCTTTTTAGGGTTCGCTACCTAAGAGTAAAAACGAGACCATAATGCAGAGACTCCGTTGTCCATCCATCCATTCGTCTATCTGTCCGTTAACATGCTGTATTTCATGAACCGTGATAGTTAGATATTTAATTTTTCATAGCTTGTGTATTTCTGTAGCTGCTTAAACAACAAACACAATAAAATAAATATTTAACGCGCTCCCATACAACAAACGTGATTTTTTTTAATGGATATAATACGGACAATTACATAATCTACTCTAGTGTTTTTCAATCTGTACCTGTAAGGGGGTTTATGGAGCTTTACTCAGGGGTTCGCCCGCAAAATAAAAAACTTACGATCTACATTGGATCACTACAGTAAAACATAATTTTTGTGAGAAGGATAGACTTGTTTATTTTTCAATAAATATCAAATCGTGGGGCTATTTTTGGAATGTTATTGAATTAATAAATAGTAGGCAACTTAAAAGAAGGTTATAAATATAGATATTTCATTTTTTTTTCATAATATGATCAGAGGGGGTCGCAAAAAAATTTCAGTCTGGAAAGGTGTTGTGTAATCAGAAACTTTGAAAGACACTGTTCTACCCCAAGTTTGATGATCGTTTTGGTTGAGGTTAGTTGTAGGTTATGCTAAAAGCGAGGCTGTCACCGCGCCTCTTGTTATTAAATAAGTTGAAACTAGCCACGGTGTTTATGTCTTCTATTAAACAGTATAATATTTTCATATAACATATACTTACTTGAATTTCGTTGACTTTGCTATATACACTGGTTTCAAGGCCTCTACTTTGATGGCGCGCTAGAGCATCTAAGCTATCCTGTAAAGATAATTTCGTTGTAAACGACATCATAATCATAAACTATCTTCTAATATCTATAGGTCTGGCAGGCATGTCTGCAGACTTGCCCGCGTGCATGCTCGTCTAGTGTTGTTCCCGCTTTACTCGAAATCAAATATTATTAATGATTATAAAGCTATCGATAAGTAGATGTATAAAAATCCTATTTCAAATGTTTTTGAGTACCTATATGTTTAATAACAATTGATATAATAATAAAGTAAACTTTGTGAAGACACCAGACAATTTATTTTTATCATCTGTCATTGTCGATACTACAATTCGTATTACTATGAACCCATACTTATACTTATTATGAACAATGATAAAGGGCTGGATTCTTTACTGAAAATATAATTTATTGTTCATTATAGTTTGATCCATGTCTACGTAACAAATTTTCAATGAGGTCATAAATTATGTTTTATTGTTTAAAACAAGAAATGCCAAGGCTATGGCATCTTGAATTATTTATTTTTATTTGATATTCTTCCTTTTTACATTACATAGGTAGTTTAAATCGAATCGGTACATCATTAGTTACAGATATTGAGATTTGTACGTAGTTCTTGACAGTTACTGCTGGAGGCGCTGTACCGGATTCCATACTAAAATTTCAACACGCTCATGATCGAAGGTGAACGTAAACATAAAAAAAACCTAACCCTAAATCCTCTGACGAAAAATCATACCTATCGTATATGCTTCCGTGATATGCTCCACGGATCTTCCATCAGACTTGCATCGACTCAGGGCCAGGTACCGAATGTGAGGCCTATTTTGATTAGCGTTGACCATTTTTACGTTAAAAAGTTTGTGATTATGAATATGCTCATAGTTTATTAGGGCCGAGTACCTGGAGCTGCTTGATTTGTATTTCCAACTCTTGAGCGTCTTTCCTCAGCTGTTCATAATTCAGTCGTGCTTGTCCGCCCATACGATCAAGTAGCATCTCTCCTCGTAGAACCGGTGGCATACTTTCCTTTAGATCATACATCTTATTATTAAAAGCAAAACGTGTGTTTTATATAATCGTTATATCATAAGCTTACGTTAAGTAAAATAAATAAAAACTTCTTAACTATTTGAATAAATCAATAACTTAATTTAAAAAAACTTGAATGGCATAACTTTGTTAACAAAATTTTTAATTCAAATTTCATTTACCGTAATCTGATACAGCACCGCTACATAATGAATTAAAATATACTATCTATAATTAAATAACATAACTATGGCCTCTTTTTAGGTCTCTCGCATTCTGATTAAATTTAGGAAGGAAGATACACGTTTTAGATAAAAAATAACAGTTTTTAATTACAATAGAAAAAGGGTTAAGGATTTCCTTTTCATTACGTGAAATATAGAGGTACTTGGTTTGTTTTTAAGTATACCTACATATAGAGAAAACTAATCAAAATGGAATATTTTGTATGCCTAAAAGAGAATACTGAAATTACTTTCTAAATTATTCTATACAAAATTTTAAATACACTTTGAAATAAGGCACGAATCCGTAAACCTATCGCGAGTTCCCTGGATTTAGTGTCAATTTTCAAATTCTTCTCCATTACGAATAATATAGGGAGGAATTTCAAAATTTCCGATTATATTCCATGTAAGATTACTTTCTCTAGTTATATATATTTTTGCTGGCTTTTATATTGGTGTGATGAAGCATTAGAAAATGTTTCAAATATTTATCAAATCAAATAATTAAGTTTTTATTGATGTTAATTATAGATTCAAATAAGTTTGTAGGATTTGGAAGGTGGTTATTTACCTATTTGATGGATGACAATTGGTAAGGGATCCTTCCAAGCTATACGTAGGCAAATTGAGGACGGAAATTTAATACCAACATAGCCATCTTCAAAGTCCTATTTTTTTTAACGGGCTTGAAATCATAAGAAAAACTGCGCTGCGTATGTGAGCCTAATTTTTCAAAGTCCCTTTTAAAAATTACCGCAGGTACATCCAAAGGCGGATCTTCAGGTTCTGGCGGGTACGGTGGGAGGAAAGGCCTTTTAGGAGGCCTCATGGGGGGTTGTGCTGTGAGTAGCGTTCTTGCAAGATGAGCCAGATCAGCAGTACTGGACACTGCCCTCGCTTGAGCACACAACGACTCGTATCTCCGCAGTTGGTGGGTAGTCTACAATAAACAAAGGTTAATTTATAAACAATCGTTATTTACGGCTCCAACTAAATAAAGAAGAAAAGGAATGGGTGTCTATCTTTATATGTACCCCATCTTAGTCACAACTTATTTGCTTAGAAATGAATGGACCATTATTGAATTTAACTTTGTTAGTTGATAGTATTGTTTTTTTTATTATGTGTTTATCTGTGGCATTATTTGCATACACTTGCTATTTGATGCAGCTTTGCTAGTGTTTTATATGTTAATAAGATGATTCACTTTAAATGATATGTTCTACATTAAGCACTTCAAAGGATCGCGGCATCGAAGGGATGCTAAGTTCCGTTGAATTGCTTTAATGCTTGTTCAATAAAGTCAATTTAAGCCCTTCTCGTACTTTCCTTAGTAATGATTTCCATTATTTGTTTCATGTACCTAAATAAATAAATAATTTCCTGTTCATTTGTCTCGCTAAAACTCGATCCGATTTAGTTGATTTTGGTTTTGAAATGCTTCGTTGTCCAGGGAAGGTTCAAACAATGACAGGTAATACGAAGTACAATTTCATAAATAAGTAGTAATAGACTGAATTTTAACATCTGCTTGTCTTTTGGGGCTAAAATAGAAAATTGAAAAGAAAGCTTTGCATATTATATCGTTACACTAGAATGTACTTTTAATACTTAATATTAAAAATATATTTTTTTTAATATTAAGCTATGAAAGAAGATATTTCTTTAGAGTTTATTTAATATTTGTAACTAAGATTATATAAAGATTTGTAATGTTAACTTAATAAGCGAATTTGACTCGCAATAGGGCGTTTTCTTTATTAATTGGCGAAGTATAAAGCATCCTACTATTTTATTAATTTAACGCATCGTGGAGCCATGAATAAAGAAAATTACCCGTTATATAAGGGCGAGCTGTTAACATAATTAAATATAGTTGAAGGCTTTATGAATACAATTGGTAATTAGATTGGTTACTTTATAAAAAAAAAACATGAAAGGGCATTTAAAAAATAACGCACGAATATAAAAGCAACTTAATCAAATTATTTCTGTTCGAAGAGATTTCTTTCAAAGTAATGTCATTTTTTGTGTATAAAGTCATTTTATGAAAGTAACAATCAGGTAGATGTATTTTGGGTCCAGACTTATTTAGATAAAAGTTTTCAGTGGGTAAGACTCCACATTGTAGTAGTACAGCCCGGGGTCTATGATTTTTCCAACCGAGGTAGAAAATCTATAGTTTTTTTTAGGGGATAAGGGGCAGACGAACAGACGGATCACCTGATGGTAAGTGATTACCATCGCCCATGGACACCTGCAACACCAGAGGGCATACAAGTGCGCTGCCGGCCTTTGAGGGACGAATATGCTCTACTTTGAAAGTTTGAAGGTCGTATCGGTCCGGAAATACCACTGGCGACAAACTGTTACTGTGCGAGGCAGGAAAAGTTGAGGACTTCCAACCATCCAAATGATGCCCTCATAGGAGAATGGAAAGTGCACTCTCTTGCAGTGTTTTTCTATTATAAAATAGCATCGGATTCTACGTCAAGCGAAATGTTGTTATAGAATAGAGGTTCAATCAAACCTACTTGAAAAGGTAGGTCATTGAAGCCCTATGCTGTCATATCGCTGTGCTCAATGTTGAAATTTTTAATTGTTTTTAACAGAATAGCATGGCTCTACATGACACTTTTTAAAGGTTATAATAATAATATATTGTATTGCACACTACACATGAAAACTTACAAATTACAAAGCATAAGAAAACAATATAGAAAAAGGCGATCTTATTGGTTCATAGCAATATCTCACAGGCAACATATGGTGGAAATTAAATAAATATTGAAAAATTATATGTTAAAGAAAATAAATAATGTTTTAGATTATTATTTTTATTTCGGCTAATTCAACCGAATTTTAATCGAACTTAATTGAGACATCATTTACTATTCAGTTTATTTATGCCTTGACAAATAAATTTTTGTAACCATACACAATAAAAGAAAAGGCTATATTTTCTGAATAGAAGAAAATGTAGTTCCTAAATTGACAAGGAGCAAAAAAAAACTTGAAACTGTCAATTGCTAGTCATCCCATGCAAATGATGGTAGGACGACCCTGGCTTAGCTCGGAAGCCAGGGTCGTCCTACCATCATATGGAGGTTATATTTTCCTCCTGTGGTATGCAGATAGAAAAAATCACGTTTCAATACGTGATAGATAGATAATTCCATTGACTAGCCCACATGTCCTTTTATCACGAAGGTAATATACTAACAACTACAACAACTAGCTTCTGCCCACGACTTCGTCCGCGTGGTAGTGACTTTGGCCAACTTTACTTAAACGAATATTTATTCATTATCGTGTAGAATACCTGAAATAAGGTTTCATTATTTTACCTTTGACAATGATGAACCTCTGTGCAAACTTTAATGCCTTATTTCCACTCTTTTATCACAAAAAAACAACCTATGTGCTATCTCAAGTCAAGTCTGTTTAGTGGGTTAGGCGTGAGAGCGTAACTAATATACCTACATATACACAGGTCAAATTTTGCATGTATAATATTAGTAAGTAATAATTAAAGTATTCTCTTTGCCGCTCATTACATAATATCATAAGAGATTACCAGTCAGTTACTGAAATAAATAGACTAAGAACAATATAAATCACTATAGTTTGGTCGACTTTTAAACTCACAGCTGATTAAAATTGAAATTCAAAGTTTATATTGTTAACATCAAATATATATGTTGTAGCCAACTGGGTAAAAGATCCGTCCCATTGGGCGGCTAGCCCTATAATAGAACTCAATGAAACGTCAATCAGCTGTGTAGCTATCACAACGTCCTTCTACAGTGCGGCTATAGAAAGCGTAGGGAACTGGTTAACTGTAACATAATAATAAATTTCATCATTCGCCCTTTTTCGTCCCCACTGCAGGGGCTCAGGCCTTTCTTATGGATGGTTAAGGAGGGTGGGACCATGACCCTCCACGCTGGCAAATTGGAGGGTATTAATGTCTGAAAATGCAGCCGGAACCAACGGATTAATGTGCCTTTCGAATGACAGAGTAGTTATCTCGAATAACTATATTTCACCCATAGATGTCACCCATCCCGGGACCGACCCTTATGAAAGTCTTGAACAAAACAGTGCGATGTCGAAGTATACTTCACGCCGTCTAATATAACGGAAAAATATTGTTTGTGTTTTCTTTCGTTTATAAAATTATTTGTACTGTACTTGAATATTTTCAAAAATATTTATTTAAATTGTTATTTTTGTAATCAGTGGTCCTCAAATACCAATTTTTATTATAATACTAGCTGACCCGACAGACTTCGTCCTGTCAAAAAGATTTGTAATGTGGCAGTTTTTTTGCCTACGTATTAAAAAAATTCTCCTGAACAGAACCGTCACCCTGGTGATAGGGCGTTGTGAATAAAAAATAATTAAATAAAACATATATAAGGATTTAAAAGTAAGTAATCGCTTTATTGTTAATCATGTGAATCATAATTATTATTGCAATGTATTAATAATAATAGTATTAAATATAGAAAAATATCATAAAAACACATTACACACAACAGCATTATAAAAGTAAACTATTCGAATTAAAAAAATATATAAACATTCTCAAGGAAAAATGCTGGAAGAATCCATCTACCTGTACCCCGGAATGGGACTCGAACTCATTCGCGATCCAGGGACTGCTCTAACCAATGAGCTATCTAGGACCCAACAGCTTTGCTACTACAGAGCGTATTTTCATCAATGTTCCGGCAATACATGTAATGACGTGGAAACTGATGCATTTTATCTCGCGTGCCGAAACTAATACAAAAGAAACGCTAGTTTCGGAACGCGACATTAAACTCCTCCAACTATGTATTCTGTGCTCAAACGCACACACGCACATTGTTTTGATAGATATGATCTTTGACGTTAGGAACACACCTACATTGCTTAGACAACAGTGGGTGCTTGTAATTTAATATGAACTTTATACCATAGCAATAAAGCTCAAATTGACTACGTTTTAGTTACAAATCATTTGTATGGGAAAAAGAAAAGGGCTATTTTTAGGGTTTATCCAGCAATAATTCTAATTTTTCTCGCCGTAAAAACCATCCTTGAACTTCAACGAACATTTAAAAAAAAGATTTGGCCAAATTGGTCGAGGCGTTGTTGAGTTATGCGCTTACCAACACATTTTGCGATTCATTTTTATATATATAGATAGATTATGACGTCTAGATTACTATTATTAGGGTAAGATCTAAATCTGTTTATATCATTTTATTATGTAAATCGTTAAAAGTGTAAAAATAATAGTATTGTTTTTAAAATTGCAATATTAATATAAGGATAATTATTTAAAGATACAAGAAAATTATGTAGTCAGTGTACAAAATGTAATATTGTATATATTACATTTTGTACACGATACGTAAATTTCTTGCTCTCGTTTTTAACTTGGTAATATCGGAGCGGCCGATACGAAACGGACATTAACATCTAGGTAATTATAATTACCTCATAGATATCTGTTTTATCCCCAATGTTCGTAGATAAAAAAGATAACATTTTATCTTTTCTTGTATGGATCATAAATTTTTCCTGTGTACGCCATTGTAAAATAGTAGACTTCTCCAGATATATAAACTTATGTCAATTTGTAAAAACATCTTATTTAATCTATACTAATATTATAAAGAAGGATTGTTTGTTTGTTTGCATCGAATACACTTCAAAACTACTGGACCGATTTTAAAATTCATTCACCTAAGGGAAGCTACATCATATGCGGCAAACATAGGCTGTATTTTATCTCGAAAAACAGAAAATAAAGGGATGAAATGGGAGTGAAAGTTTATATAAAAATTGTTTATTATTGTATTGGCTATTGTAATTATATCCGTGTCATATGATAGCTTATCCAAATGAGTTATTGAATTAAATTCTAAGCTTGGATTAATATATGGATTAATATTGGCCTTTTATCTCAGTATAGAGTTCCACTGGCGGAAAGCTAGTAGTTTATAATCTAAACCAGCTTTCATCCTAGTTTCGCCCGTGTGGTCTTGTATTATACAAGAAAACCTTCCTTTTGAATCACCCTATCTATGAAAAAATAACCGCATCACAATCCGTTGCGTAGTTTTAAAGATTTAAGCATACATAGGGATATAGGGACAGATAAAGTCCTTTGTTTTATACTACTCGTATGTAGTGAAGAGAGATGTAGATCTTTAGACTCGTATGTAGATCTTTACACATTTACGGTGATGTTTATGTGAGTTCGGAACTCAAGTAGAGTTGAGTCGAAAACTTGGATGGTAGTATTATTTCGTATGCAAGTGTGCAACTATTTCACTCTAAGCTGACTTCCTCTCAAGTCTATATAACTAAAATTTTCTTTGACATAAGAACAGTTATCATTTAATTACCTTTTCGGTGATAATTTCCCCGTTCTGACAAATAGCCTCGCTGACGGTCGTTGTGACATCCGTCAGTATCTCCTCCAGCTCCTGAAAACAATACGCGTCTGATTAATTTGGTAGCTTATTAACTATAATTAATATCTTCACAAGGGGTTCTTTGTAGGTTAAATGAGATAAAATAAATTGCACACATCAGAAATAACACAGAAGACAAACTTAAGAGCAGTACAAAAGGCCGCTATATCATTAAAAGCGATTTTTTTACCAGGCAGCAGTTAAGTCTCGTTGACAACTTTTCTTAATATAAATAAATAGTTCATTAATATCTGAGAAATAATGTCTGAGATAATAGTTTCGGAGATACAGTGTTATGTTTCTGGAAGTGCTACTAGTCGGCCAAAGACGCTTCTAACAAATTACGTCTAAACCCAACGCACTAAGTCACGTCATACGATGCTATAGTACCGAAAAACATATGGGCGTCTGGGAAAATTTTGTAATATCTTTGTTATTTGTGCGTTAACGTTTATAGCTGTTATGATTAAATGAATGAATTTAAGTAAAATACATAAATTTAATGTATTTTAGTATAATTTGATAGTATATTTTCCCTACTTTTTTCAAGTTTTCTAAGAGTATCATTTTCCAAAATAGTGTAATAAAATTTATATAGTTTAATATTTATAAGTGAAAACGATTCGCATTTTTTTCTGGACATAACAGAAACCTGTATTTTCACTTGCAGGATACAAGCCTATTATGTAATATAAGAAAATTTGGGTGGCTTATGGTGCATAAACCTTAATAGAGAACCAGTCTATTTACGAGAAGCTTGAAAATTTCCAAGTTTTATATATTATTTTTTAACTAACATTTTGTACTTTTTTATTTTGTATTTGATTGAATGAGTGATAGATAATTAAAGTTAGATAATATCTTTAAATTGGATTGCTTCCACAATCGCTGTCAACCGCCATTATCATGGATTTTATCCTTTCTATCTGATGTATTTTAATCAGGGACTCAATAAAAATATGGTACTTACATCGTAGCAATAATTTTAGTAAAAATGTTGTTATTTTACCATTAACCATAAATAATTGTTTCATAGTTACAATTTTCAAATTAGGTAAATATTTTCATTGGTCTATAATCAAAAAGGCATAAATACAACAGAATTCGGATTATACTTTCTAGGTACATATGGGTATATATAACTACATACATATGGGTATTATACTATTTAGATTAATTTTTATATTTGATCAAATGCATTTACAATGCTATACCTAATGGAAAATATTCTTAATGGAAAATGCTTAAAAAATCAACTTTGTTCCTGGTATTCATAATATATCTCATATATATATTAACCCATCTCAGAGTACCAGGGAACAAGCATTTTTCATTAAGGGCCAGTGTTTTGATTCGTAGTCAAATGTCATTTTGCTATTTGTTAACTTGATCATAGTTAAAACGTTAACCAGTTGTTAAGTCACCGTTTCGTTTTTGATGTCAAATTAAACCATAGCCAATGTTAACCACTGTTTAATTTGTTGTTGGTAATTTTTTTGTAGGTGAGAACACTAACGATTAGAATGAATGGCGCGAACTATATACCATTCTTGGCATTAGGATTTTGTTTCAAATGTCAAATACACAAACGAAATCTGTAGGTTATCAAACAGTTTGAATTTGTATGAGTATTGTGTTGTGTGCACTATGTGTTATTTTTTAAGAAATAAAAGGCCATTTCTTTAATTATGTCTGGTAACAACAAAGAATAAAATTTTTGGACTTATGTTAGCCTAAACTTTTTCATTTTATATAGTACAAATGATGATCAAAATATAATTTATTTCAATAAACCAAAATCCAAAAATGACAATGAATATTTTCCTATGAAATTGCACCATAAAACAAAATCCCAAAAATAACTAATGTCCAAATTTACTGTGAATCATGTAGGTTAGACAAACAACGTAAAAAACAATTACAAGGGACCAAGTTTGTACAACGCAGTTGTCTGTTCATTTAATCATTGGTCATTTGTTTATCCTAGCTCCCGGTCATGGTAAATTTTGTTGACCAATACATAGTTGGAATATTGACAATTGGCTAGGCTAACTACTGATCAAAAAACAGTAGCTCGGTGGTGTAGTGGATAAGCGCTGCGGCCCGCGATCGTAGTCGTTAAGCAACTTTCGCAAGGCTCGGTCACGGGATGGGTGACCAAAAAAAATATTATCTCGAGCTACTCAGTGCTTTGGAAGGTACGTTAAGTCGTTGGTCCCGGCTGCATTTGCAGTCGTTAATACCCTCCAATCCGCATTGGGTCAGCGTGGAGGGTCATGGCCCATCCTCCTTAAACATATATAAGGAAGGCCTGAGCCCCTGCAGTGGGGACGTAAAAGGGCTGGTGATGATGATGATGATATTTTTTTGATATTTAACCATTTCTCGAAGATTTTAACAAATGGTTGAGTTTTAACTACGAATCAAAGATCTGTCCTAAAAATACTATATAGATTAAATTTAATTAATATGTTCATAATTATTTTCCTTTGCATTTGTGTAATCTCTTCTTACGTATTCATCTAAAAGATTTATATTATAGCCAGTGAAATGTACTGTAGATGTATCTGACGACTGGCTTCTGAAAGCACAAGTTACTAATTAATTAACTACTTAGTTTCAAAATGTTAGGAGCTTCGACTTGAATACTGAAATTTAAAGGCAGGATTACTATATATATTTTATGAGGCTACTTTTCTTATTTACATTTTATTTTACATCAATGAAGGTTTAAAATAAATTCTAAGATATTGAGCACCAAATAATTTTAATTAAAATAAGTTTTCATTTATAAAATTAAAATTGGTTTAAAATAATAGGCGCTCTTTAGCGCAGTGATTAGCAGGTTTGGTCTGCGATACGGTTGGTTAAGCAATTTTTGAGAGTCGGTTATAGGATGGGTGATCCAAGATTTACTATCTTGAGCTCCTCCGTGCTTTGAAAGGCATGTTCAACCGTTGCTTCCGGCTGAATCTGCAGTTTCTATCAGTACGTCATTCGCACTGGTCCTGAGTGGTAGGTCATGACCTAATCTGCCTATTCGATTTTATCCATAGAAAGGCCTTCCGTAATCAATAAGCTGCTGATAATGATGTCGATGTTGACATAATTATAAAAGAACATAAAATGTTTATTGATAAAACGCATTTAGAGCGATATCGAACGAGAAAGATAGCAAAAGTGCTATAGCATGCTGCGGCTATTTTTCTCGTTCCAACAAATGGTAGTTCCGAGCGGCAGAAAGGGATGGGCCGACTGAAAAATCTTTGATCTTATGTTAAACACTTACGCTGTCATGTCTTCTTCATGAGTTTTTAAATAATTCTATAGAAAATAAATATCTTTGCATCTCAAATAAGACAAGATGAGAATAGTTGTGATGATAAAAAGACAACCATAAAGAAAAATATAATTTTCCTTAATGAAGTATCTACCACTCTGTTACGAAAATAAAATAATGAGGTGTATTCATTTTTGGTACCTTTACCTGACAATTATTTATCCACCTCTCCGGAGATTACGCAATATGTCAAGCATATCCCGCTGGGAGTCGTTTCGTCGTTCTTAAAGTATATTTTGCGTCTTATTTGGACGAATAAACTTCAGTAAATAAACTTAACATGAAATTATTTAGTATGTTTTCGTGAAAATTGCAAGACTCATGGTTCTCACTTTTTTTTATTGTATGTTCGGATATACTGAACATATCATGAAAATTGTTTCACCTACGGGAAGTACATCATATACGGGTGACACTACGTGAGCTATAATTTACATAACAAAAAAAAACAGTTCTTAATATTTCAGGACCGTTTTTTTTTGTGACAGAAAATAACCTTTTCCTTAGTAGTTCTATATTATTAAGACATTTAATATGTTTGTTTGAAATTCTAAAACACCTTTATTTGTGCACACATAAGTAAAAATAAACCAAATACAATACTTATTAAATTAAGGTAATCTTATAAGCGCAATACTTATGTCAGTTGAAAAGAATGGGACGTCCTCTTTTGATAAATAAATCCTTAAATTAGAACATTGGGTGTCAATTGTCGGAAAAAAATAAAACTTTTATGTTTCACCTTTATGCGAATGTGGCCCCAAAATGACCTTTGTATTTGTTTAAACTTTGTATGCTGTGGTCCTTGATTTCCAAGAAACTTAAAACTTGGATCGAGTTAAGTTCTGTAGTAGTTTGCGTGGTATATCGACTTATGTAAATGTTGAACTTGCACAAACCTATACAAGCACAGGTTAATGTACACAATCATACCCAATTTATATATTGTAGAAGATAGAGTTGCTTCTCACTGTCTGTACGCTAAGATCCTTTATACTATTTTTTTTACACTTTTCTTATGGATTTTAATGCGGTTTTCACCAATATACAGAGGATTTAAGAGGAAGGTTTATATGTATAATACAGGACCTCGCTTTCCGCGAATGAATTCATATTAAGTTGACCGTCATTTTATTGTCTTTGTACAGTACTAGTTTTCCACCAGCGGGTTCACCCGCATAGTTTCAGAGACCTGAATTAAAATGGCAAATTGAATAGTAAACAAGGTTACTATGATAACGTTTTAATTACCTATATAAACTTCCACTCCCATTTTTATTCCTTTATTTGCTGTTCGGGATAAAATATAAGCATATGTTCATCGCATATAATATTAGCTTCGCGTAGGTGTTTTAAAATCGGTCTAATAGTTGTGGAGTCTATACGTTACAAACAGACAAATAATCAAATCATTCCTCTTACTAATATTAGTATACGAGGGTCAAACTGAAAGTTCTTAGAACTGGCCACTTATAAACAATATAATAAAAAAATAATTCTAAAATTTGAAAATATAACTCTTTGCCAATATTACTGAGTATATATTTCATTCATTTGTCATTTGTTTTACGATTTGGCGGCAAATTGAAAATTGTCTGTGTCACGTCATCATGAATTTAACACGAGAAAATTTTCGTGCAATGATTTTTTATGACTTTCGATGTCATTTAAG